GCATGCCCGCAGCACAAGGTGGAAGGAGAGACAGTGTCTAACTGCCTCAGGTTCCCCCACTAAATATCACCCAGAAATCACCTGCCCCTACAGGCCATACCCCACCCCCGAGATGTGGCAGCAAGTGACACCAGAGAGGAACAGGTGAGGTGCTGGAAGGGAACAGCCTGGAGGATGCAGCGAAATCTGCCGTCAAGTCTTCGGCTGCCCCTGTGGTTGCCTCCCTAGTCTGGCTGGCTGCAAACCCAGGGGAAAACTTGCTCCCGCACAGAGAAAAAACAGTGGGCATCAGAAGGAGGCAACAGCCTCAGCCTCCAGGCTGACTCCGGGGTAAGATCGTAGGCTTCAGCCCTGGGCAGCAAACCAAGGGAAGGTTGGGAAAAGCCTACATCAAACCCTCCATCTGGGACAGGATAAAACCTCGCAGATGACCCACATACTTTCTACAGGAAAAAACCTGGACAAAACCTTTAAGTACCTTTTAAAGACTTGTGAAGTCTGCCACAGAAATAACCTGTACTCTCATCCCCAAATCCCCAGAGGCAGACAGTGAGGGGGAGCTGGCCTGGGGAAGGCTGGCAATTAGCAAATGGATTTCACAGGTATGCCTGAGGCACAAGGGTCCCAAAGCCTCTGGGTTTGGGTAGATAACCTTCCCACGCTTCTGCAGAACCAGAAGGCCTCAGTGGGGGTAAAGGCACTAGTAAGTGAAACCATCCCTCGGCTGGGACTCCCCTGGTCTGTACTCCTCATTGCCTTACTCCGGATTAGAAACGCCCCCGTGGAAACAGGCTTGAGCCCCTTCCAGGTCTTGTATGGGAGGCCCGTCTGTGTAAATGACCTGCTGGTGGACAAGGGAGTCTTTGACTCAGCAAATCATGTCATCCCTCTGGCAAGGTCTCCATGAGCTCCTTGGGCGGTTCCTAACCCTCAGCTCCAAGACAACCAACCTTCCCCGATCATCCCAGGGACCAAGTGCTTGTTAAAGATCTTTTCTCTTTATCTTTGTCTCTAGAGCCTGTCTAAGAGGGCGCACACACAGTCATCTTAGCCTCCCCAACGGCTGTCAAGGTACCCAAGGTCAAGGCCTAGATCCACTATTCTAGAGTCAAGCCCTGGTTTCCAGCGGAAGAAGACAACAGGAAACCAAGATACCACTGCAAGCAAGGAAGGGCTCAAACGCATCTTTAAAAAACAGAAAAGGCAACGACACCAAGCTAAGTACTTCAACCCCTGATCAAAGATGCCGTTGAATGCATTTGTTCTCTTTCTCTTTCTTTCTCTTCCCAAACTTCTACATTGCCACTCATCTGCAGGGACCCAAGGATGGGTTCAACCCAGTGCCACTCCCTTCAATTTGACTGATTGTTGGGTATGTGGGAAAGACTCAGTAGGGACCGCTGTGCCCGCCCCTATCGAGGTCTGGCTGCGGGCTAATTACTCTGTCACTCCTTTTGTCTCCTATACTAATTCATTCCCCAATCAAAATATAGAGCAACTATTTTTTAAAGCTTGGAAGAAGGACATGGAAACCAAAGTAGCCAGTGTCCCCTGGTCCGACAACACCCCAGAGCTTGCCTGGCTGGCTCAGCTCCAGATCAGTACCTCAACAACATTCCCTATTTGCTGCGAAAACACCTACACTCCGAATTCGGGGATTTTTGTAGGAAAGCTTTCCACGTCCCAGTGTAACTTCACCTTCCAGGTCCCTTCAAGCGCCGCAGAGGAGCCCTGGAATAGCTCCCTTTTCAACTCGCTCAGCGCCTACAAAGACCCTGATCAGCCTCACCTCTTTCTCCGGGCCCAGGATCCCCTAAAGGAAAAGACATCTTTTTGGACCCCTGCTAACAACTCCTGCTCAGCAGGGTGGTCCCCGGTGTCCTGCAATTCCTCTACACTAGGGTTGGCCAGAGGTTTGCTCCTCTCGTCCCAAGAATTCTTCCTGAAAATCTACCCTTCCAGCTCACTTGCCGTCACGGTGGGCGAGCGGCTCTGGTTCGATGCTTCCCTGATATGGAGGAAGTTGTCAGGCGCGGCCTCTACCTCCCCACCGAAGCTTCTCTTTAAGTACGGGTTCCACCTAAGCCTCCGTGCAGAGGACGGTCTGTTCTTCTACTGCGGGAGAAGGGCACGCGCGTTCTTACCCGCGCAGTGGACAGGGCGCTGCTCCCTCGCCTACCTAGCTCCGCTAGGGCCCCATGCCCCTGGGGCCAGCCACATGCCGCAGGTTGGAAACCAGTCCGAGCCTTGGATATAGAGACCTGAGGACTCCCTCTATTTGGAGGGTGTGGCCCTCCAGAATCCCCGGGGCCCTGGACCTCGGGACCTCCTGTCCTCCCATGCTCCCATGCCGGGGACACCTGCAGCCTCCTCCAGGAAGCCGCTTTTATATTAACAACACAGGTCAGGGGGTGCCTCGTTCAGATTCGTCAGGTAGCCTGGTGGCCCAAATAGAGGACCCCTCCTTCTGGTGGACCTCCCTTTGGGTCCAGCAGAGACACTGACTATGGCCATTAATGGCCCCAGAATTAGTCCTCTTCCTCCTGCTTCCCTTCTAACCTTGTATTCTAATGCCCTTGTCCAACTTGTTTATTCTGTCTAGGCAGCCACAGATGGCGACCCTGCCTACTGTAGGGGCCTCGGGACAGACCTCTGAACCCATAGGCACCCCTCCCCAGCAGGAAGTAGCCACAGATCAGTCATCGCCCCTGTTCCTGATGGCAGTTTGGAGTTACCTGTTGGGGGGGTGTCGGGAATATGTCAGGGACGGATCGGAGATGGACAGGCAAAGAGCCATACAGTAGGATCAGAGCCCACAGGGGTAGAATCAGTATCGCCCCTGCTTGGCCGGCCTCACGGGTATTCTTGGACCTGAAGTCTGTGGGGACCCAATCAGTCATGACGCTGTCCCTTTCGCTCCCTTCATCATCCCCTTCTCATCAGCAAGTCACTAGCCAGAGAGGGTCTTCTTTTCCTCTTCACCCCTGTACACAGCAGCCAATGTTCACTTATTACTCATGGATGTCTTAATGAAAATCAGCTTCTATGGCATTCCTAGTCTGTTGGAATAAATTTATTTTCAGTCTCTTGAAATCTTTGTATGTCCTACAGTTAAATCTGAATTGCAGTCACACACCAAGACAGACAGCGTAAGTAACCACAGCAATCACAGATAGGAGGTATGTGCTCTGTAGACTCAGTATATTATATAAAGTATCTCCATTATTTATTTTTTGAAAGAGACATGCATGGAGAAGAGGTAGAGGGAGACAGAGAATCCCAAACAGGCTCCAGTTCAGCATGGAGTATGATGTAGGTATTGAACTCACTACCCCAAGATGACCTGAGCTGAAATCATGAGTCAGACGCTTAACAGACTGAGCCACCCAGGTGCCCCTGCATTAGCTCTTAAAATAGCTTTATGAGTTAAGTATTATTATTATATTATTCCCACTCTTGATGAGCAAAGGTTTAGAAGACATAAGCAAGTGCCCAAAAGCCAATTGGTAGAAGAGATGCAACTTAAAATCAAATTTTTCTAACTCGAGTTTCAGCTCTTAAGCACTTTCTAAAACAATTGAATAATGGGTGACATTAGTTACAGGAGTTTACGAAATTATGTTAGTTTCAAGAATTTTGGAGTATGAGTCTGTATTTGTTTTCTTTTTAAAATAAAATTCAATGTATGCAAAAATTAATTCCATATTAAATACCTTATGAAAACCAAAATTTAAAAAAATCAAAAAATAGAATGTTTAGTCATTAAAAATTAAAAGGCTTAAAAGCAACTAGAAGCACAGTTTCTGAATTTAAGTACTTGGTTTTTGTAGGGCATTCATTGTATTCTAATTAATTTATAGTTAATGCAATCATGATCAGAAGCTCAAAGAGATTTATTTTTCAAAACTGCTATAGTGATTCTAAACGTACACACACACATAAAAGGAGTGTGAAACTAGATCAGAAACTTTTGAAAAGAAATAATGGAACCCACAGTGCCAAATTATGACCTGTAAGACAACTACAATTTAAAATTTTGATGTAGTAAACAGAACAGTGTAGGGGAGGAAAAATAATTTCCCCTCTACCCTTCTAGGTGCTATGAACCTCCCCTTATAATAAAAGACAGATTAAGGAGGAAAACAAAGAGCAGTTTAATGACATGGACACCTCGTGTGTACATGGGAGATGCTCTGAAGAACTGAGTGGAACTCCCGGAAGAGGCCCCAGCCACCCCTGGAGACACCACCTTCCGCTAACAGATGTTGGTGTGGGAAGGGAGTGCCCAGGGAGCCAGTCTGGGGTTGGCGGGAAAGGATGGGAAACAAGGTTGCGATGCCGAATTAAGCTGGGGCTTTCCCAAAGACAGGAATGTCTGGTGATTTAGTCATCCTTCTCTTCCTGGTGCAGAGAGGGAGACACTTAGAGGCTGAGAATTTCATCAATGTTAAAATGTCCCGTTAGGAAGATTTTAGAGATTCTCCCGTGTCGGTGTTTCTTAAAAATCATCTGCTCGCATATAGTCCTTAAGCCAAAGTGGCGCATTTGGTTGGGGGGTGGGGGGGGGCGTCTTCTGCTACCCTCCATACCAAAGAGGCCTATTTTTGAGACAGTATGTCCTGAACTCCAACACTCCTGTTTTGGGGTGACAACTTAGGGTTCCCTTCCCAGCCAACAATCATTCCCCTTCTGAATGAGAGAGGACAGTACTTTGTTGTAAACTAGAAGCCCCTAGTAACGTTCTCCTGGGCGAGATTCCTGCAGACACCAGTACGAACCCGCTCAGGAGAAGCCAGACCTTCCACGCGACCTCGCTCCCTCCAGCACACAGTCCTCGGAGCTTCGCCCAGAGGTGGGAGGAGCCGGGGAGCCGGGGGTGGGGGCGGGGCCTCGGGGCCCGCCCGCGCTGCCAGTCTTCAACGAGGTCCGACTTCTGCTTATAATTAGCGCTGACGGACAAAAGGGGCCATCGCTGTGTTGAACTCACACAGAGCACTTAGATCGATATGTCTGGTCGCGGCAAGGGTGGGAAGGGCCTGGGCAAGGGGGGCGCCAAGCGCCACCGCAAAGTGCTGCGCGACAACATCCAGGGCATCACCAAGCCCGCCATCCGGCGGCTGGCTCGGCGCGGCGGCGTCAAGCGCATCTCGGGCCTCATCTACGAGGAGACTCGCGGGGTGCTCAAGGTGTTCCTGGAGAACGTGATCCGCGACGCCGTCACCTACACGGAGCACGCCAAGCGCAAGACGGTCACGGCCATGGACGTGGTCTACGCGCTCAAGCGCCAGGGCCGCACCCTCTACGGCTTCGGGGGCTGAGCCTCCCGCTATCCTCCTGTCCAAAAAAAAATATAAGGCCCTTTTTAGGGCTTCCCACCCTTTCACGAGAGGAGCTGAAACTCTGATTACTGGAGCTCACTGGTCTGCGCGGCCGTGTTGCACTGCGGGTCATGTCACCGTTATCCGCTCTTGTTTCTAGTCCTGCCAATCAACCCTATAGCCAGGAACCTTGCCCCAGGTTGGTTTGGTGTCACAAGTCACATCAAAACTTGCTCAAAGATGTAGGTTCTAGGAGAGGCTTGGGGGCGTGTTGTGTTGGGCACAGCTTCCTTCAGAAGAGTTTGCTGTTTTATGGACACAAAGGAAAACCCTTCTACCTCAGTAATATCCTTGCCAGAAATATACTAATGGAGAGTTGTTTTAGGAGAGCTGGAAAAATGTCCAGACCAAAACTCGGCAAGTGTTCCGTCAGAAAAAGGCAATTTCTAAGTTTGACTATAATTGACCTCAGCTCCTACATGGGACCCGGCTTGGCAACTCAGGAGTAAACTATTAGCCTGGAGGGACAATTAGTGGCCTATTGCTGGCCTCCATCACCACAAAAAGTAGAGAACTTAGTGAAGGTATTTTTGTCTTTAAGGACAATGATCATAATAGCACTCCTTCAGCATTTACGATGGACGATTGACGAATGTGTTATTTGTGATTGCCAATAAACACTCAGTTACAGTTAATGTAACATTAAGATTAAGCAAATGTAAGTATGTTCTATCCAATTTTAAAAGTATAACATTTATATTCATTTTTATCTGGTTAGCAAGGATGTATAGTTTATTTTTTATTTGCTCTTTTTTTCCCTACTGCATGATATATAAGAAAACTTTTCACAATTGTATATGATTAATCACAAATACAAACTATGTCTCTTCTCATGAAATGAGAAACTATGTGTGGCCCAGTGGCCATTTGGGAAACTACAGAGGAGTTTAGATATAAGTGATACCTAAAAGGTATCATTATACAAAATGTAGGGCCTGCATTTAGGAAATGTATTATCAAGAAGTGTTAAGTTTCATTAAATCAGTTTATGAACATTAGACATCTAAAGACAAGTACTAGGATATTAGCTATAGAAATATTTAAATAATATATGGAATATGTAGGGAATGTTTTTTGGGGGGTTAATAACCAAGAGACTACTATCAAAATTATGCAAGAAATCAATGCAAAGCAGGGTACCTGGGTGGCTCAGTCGGTTAAGCATCTGCCTTCAGATCAGGTCATGATCCCAGGTCCTGGGATCAGAGCCCCACAATTGGGATCCCTGCTCTGCCAAGAGCACGCTTCTCCCTCTGTGTGCCACTCCCCCTGCTTGTGCGTGCTCTCTCTCTCTCTCTCTCTGTTAAATAATTTTTTTAAAAAAGAAGAAAAAATTAATGGAAAGCCATAAATACATAATTGACCCTCAGAAGCTGTTGGGAAATATAATTAAAAACAAAATCTCCCAGCCTAGAAAACCGCTGCACAAAGGTAGTAGAACCAGAAGTTTTATTATTGAGTAAGCATTAAACCAGAATGACTATCACAGGCAATCTGCTATGGGAATAGCAGAGACAAAAATAAATCTCACTCTGTTGGATAGCTAAATGGACACAGCCCATCTGAAACACAGTAGTGTTACAATTTGGAGTCATACCTTAGCTGAAGTTCAGCCCAAGTCTTCCTAGGAAAATGGGAGATCACCATTATTAAAACAGCACTGTATTTCAGAAATGCCTCTAGGGTCCTTGAGGAAACATTCCTGAGCCGGTAGATGGGCTGGATGCACATTTAGCATTTGACCTTAACAAGGGTTAAATCTTGGTGAGACCAGATGTTGACGGTTTTAACTTCAGCTTTAAAATGTATACATCTCATCTTTGCTTACTGTTTTTCTATACATTTGGGCAATTACTACTTTCATCTGTGTGTGTGCATTAGCCAAGCTTCCTACCAACACCCAAGTCTTCCCTTTCGACTCTGGGTTTCTTTCTCTACTTTTTAAGACTTCCTCTAGGAGAATCCTAGATTCTAGAGTTATGGCCTAATCCTGTGTTTGATTCCTTTTCGACTCTGTACCAAAGATCTCTCCTGGGCTAGGGCTGCCTATTTTCATGGCAACATTTCTGTTGTTTCCCTTATCATTTAGCTGGAATGCCTTTTAACTGCATCCCACCCTCACCACCTGGTCTGTGGTGTACTGACCTCTCTGTCCTCTAGGAGCTTGGGTCTCCACTCCCAGCAGACCCCAGCACTGGAGCCAGGGCTGGTCACATGCTTGGTCTCATCCAACTGTCCCAATTGTTGCTCTCCAATTAAGTCTACTTAACACTCATTTGTTTCTTGAGCAGAGGACACGTGGCACCAGAATGCAGATCACTAAACGTGATCACATCGCATGGCCTCATGCACACGGAGATGCACCTTCTCTGTAATTCAGCGCTGAGGCACCTGCGGTTCTTGCTCCTTGCAACCCCCAAACCTGCACTCCGTCACACTGAGAAAGCCGTTCTACTCCTGCTCAAGTCCTAAACCCATTTCCCTCCCAACCGTCATGCCAACGTTCCCATTACGGCATTAAAATTTCACTTTAAATTGAAATCCCATAATCCTTGCTTGTATTGTCAAATAAAATTAAAAACATAATAATAAATAAATGTACCTGTCAAGTGTTAAAGTGTCAACAGTAACTTAATGCAACTCTCCAAAAACCTGCGGGAGAACATGAAAAATGAAAGGGCTCATGCGTTCTCTAGTTGCACACGGGGAAACCGGGGAAGCTTCTACGCAAACGGGAATGGATGTACTTTCATGGCCCTAACCCGACACTGTTAAAGACAAACCAGCGTCACGGCTCCGGAGATGAAAGAAGTGGGGGCCCTGAAAAGGGCCTTTAGGATTTTCAAAGAAACCAAACCGGAGGGCAGAAACTCAGCCCCCGAAGCCGTAGAGGGTGCGGCCCTGGCGCTTGAGCGCGTAGACCACGTCCATGGCCGTGACCGTCTTGCGCTTGGCGTGCTCCGTGTAGGTGACGGCGTCGCGGATCACATTCTCCAGGAACACCTTGAGCACCCCGCGGGTCTCCTCGTAGATGAGGCCGGAGATCCGCTTGACGCCGCCGCGCCGAGCCAGCCGCCGGATGGCGGGCTTGGTGATGCCCTGGATGTTGTCGCGCAGCACTTTGCGGTGGCGCTTGGCGCCCCCCTTGCCCAGGCCCTTCCCACCCTTGCCGCGACCAGACATGGCTGGGAGACGACTGCACAGCGTTTTGTCACGTCGTCTGCGCTGCAGGCTTTTATCCCGCTGCCAGCGGACCGAACTGAGAACCTCACACAGCCGAGAAGTGCCACCCCATGGCGGGAGAGAAGTGTGACAAGACCCAAAAAAAAAAAAAAAAAAAAAAACAAAAACAGAAAGTCGTAGGTTTCCTTGTACTGTGTCTTGTTTATACCCGGTAACTATTTTGTTACTCTGTTTGGAAACTTTAAAAAATTGCTTTTCGATGGGAACCCCAAGCGCGAATATTGTGAGAAATACAGAAAAGGGCAAGTAATAAAATAGCAATATTTTATCCCCCCACACAGAGAACACAGTACTGCTGCCCAGTTTGGGATTTTGGTGAAATAGGGAAGTGCACATCTTTTTTTTTTTTTTTAGAAAATTCACATAGTTCCATGTATGGCGTTTTGGAACTTCTTCACATAGATTACATTTTAATCACTTTTCCTTCTCTAAAGACCAAAAAAAAAAAAAAAAGGTGTTTTTAATATCTACTTGTTATTCCTTCTTAAACATTCTCTATAGTACACTTGAGCCAATTTCCTATTAATTCCTTAATAAATCACATGTATAAAATAATTATTTTCCCTACTGACTGATGTACCACTTTCAACACTAGGAAATGTAGGGGTCAAGGGCAGGTTAACCTAAAATGAGTCACTTTGACGTGAAGGTTATTAAAATCCAGCACATTTTGTAAAAGCTTTTTACCGCCTCCACAACTGCGTAAAAGGAAATTAGATAGAGGACCTGCTCCAGAAAGAAATTTACCACAGAGAGAACTGTATTATACTGTGAGCTAGGTGTAGACCATGGGGACCAGGCAAGGCCTGTTGGATCAAAGCCCTTTATGTCCCTTGTTTCCAAGTGGCCCAGCAGACATTTTCTTTATCAGGCATTTGCTCTTCTGTGAATTACATTCCTTCCCTTTGAAGTCCCAGGCCCCTGGCCCCTTCTCCTTAGTTCAGAAAGACATATATACTTCATTTTGCTTGACGTCTTTGAAATTTCATGTCTGTATAGATCCCTGTAGTATACTGTTACATTTTATTTTCTCCTGTGAATCTGGCTCATGTCTATTTGATTCTTAGCCCGCTGGAAGGATCTCCAAAAGGACAGGATATTCCTGCTCCCTGACAGAACTATTCCTAAAAATTCTATTCCATACAGAACTATAGAACTATAGTTTAAGCAATGTCCTTTGCCAAAGGAAATCTACTTTCAGTTCAGTCTTGGAAATTTTACACTAGGGAAAGTGAAAAGTGATTATGTCTGTATGATATTCCATCATAAGCATTTTCTATGATACATTTTAAGCAAAATCTCTAGCACTTAACATAATATGCTTTCTATTTTAAAGATCTGTACATAACTTATTTCCTGAGGATAACCTAGAATTGAAATGCTTTGTCAGAGACGGTATAGATTTTTGTGGTATTATATTAATATTAGTACAATTTCCACAATTCTTACCACACTCACCTCTGCCAGCAGTGTTGTGCATATAAATTTACCATATAATACCAAAGAGGCATATTTTGAGATGATATATTCTACTCCTCTTCAAAATATTGTAACTTGTTTCAGGTTTAAAGGAAAAATTAACCCTTTTGGAATTTTTGTCATCATTGCATCACACTGATTAACTGGGACATCTTTAAAAGAATGAGTTCTTCATCCTTGTATATTGTAGGAGCTGGAAAATTTTCCCTTATTTCTTTCTAGGTTCTTTTGCCAAGCTACTAATTAAAATGACACAAAACAGATTAATGGGGGCCACCTGGGTCGCTCAGTTGTTAAGCATCTGCCTTTGGCTCAGGTCATGATCTCAGGGTCCTAGGATCGAGCCCCATGTTGGGCTCCCTGTTTAGCCTGCTTCTCTCCTTCTGCCTGTGGTTCCACCTACTTGTGCTCTCTTTCTTTGTCAAATAAATAAATAAAATCGTTAACAAACAAAACAAAACCAGACTAACAGGAGAAAAACATTTAATTTCCTAAGTACAGAAGCCCTGTAAAAAATAAGACTTAAAGGCAGTCAGGCACTTAAGGCTGATATGCCATCCCCAGCTAAGGAATGGGAGAGGGGCCTGGAGCTATAGAGGGGAGGAGGATAATTCAAAGCAAGATAAGAGTAGAGTTTAGTAATCACGTATCTGTCTCGACAAGCTGAGCCTTTCATGTTAAAAAGCTGTATCTGTTAATACCTGTCTGTTATCAGCCCCTTACCTAAATTCTTCAAGGCCGTCAGGGGGAGGGCAAAAGTTTCTCTTGACCTGTAATGTTCTCAGCTGACTTTAGTTCTAAACAGTCCACATGTCAGTGGCGTTTGGGGAAGACTCGTTCTGAACCCCTTCACTGTCGTATTGCTAGGTTAAAGCTGTGCCCGGCTCACAGTAGAGGGGCAATGAGTATTTGTTGAATGAAGTGTAGGGAAAGAAAAATTCTCTGTCCTCTTTGGATCTCTGCCCAAGAATTAAACTGACCTAAGACCGGTTAACAGAGGAAAAAAGCATACATGTTCTATTAAATTTGTACATGTTACATGGCAGCCATGGAGAAGGAAGTCCCAAAGCAACTAGTCAGGGAGATTTCATATTTTTAGACAAGATAAGTTTGTGAAGAATTGACAAGACAAAGAGGTTTGGGCTTGGGGTAGCCAGTTGAAGAAATAACAAGGTTTTTTACTTGTGGCCTTTCAGCCCTAAATTCCCTCTGGTGATAAGAAGTCCTCCTCTCCTGAGGGTACAGGGTGGGTGCCTGTCCCAGAGGACTTTTATCTCCTGCTTTCAGGGGAGGGGTGGGATGGGTGGGGAGGTCGGAGTGACCCTCCCGCTTCTGCAGTTTTCTCAAACTCTTTTAAGCTTTAGATATTCCATATATGCCTGGGTGCTTTGAGGCAGTGAGTTGGAATGAACGTGGCAAGTCTCCTTTCCTCCCAAGCCCACTTTCTGAAGCCCCTTTCTTGAGTGCTGATGTCGCACAAGCTGAAAGCCAGACATTCCAGGCTCCCCTCCTTCACCTGCCCCTGTAAGTCATTCTGCAGCAAGGCCTAACCTTTCTGCTGCCTCTTCCCCTTTATCCCCCTTTCTTCCCCTCCTCCTCGTTCCGACCCTCACCTCTGGCTGGTATTTCCAACCTTTTGACGTGGATCTCACCCACCTTTCCATCCATTCTCAACCGGGTCCCCAGAATAATGGTTCTAATCATATATTTTACAAGATTTTAAAATGCGGTAGAGTCTGCCTTCCCCTAGTAGATAAACTTTGTATTTATTTTCAAGGTGTACAAAGCTCCTCAGTATGGGAAGTTCTTTGCCCCACCTTCTACTTATCGTTCCACATTCATTTCCCTCCATTCCAGACTCCAGTCCTGCGAGAGGATTTCCAAGTCCTAGAGCACCTTCCCCTCCCCACCACAGGATCTGCCCCATTCAGCAACCTCCATTTTGCTTCCCTCCAAGCTTCTTTTCAGAGTTTGTATTTTCTTAACGGTTTCTTCTGAAGATGCTGGGACTTCCCCACTGCAGGTACATTTCTTAGCACCTATGAGACCAGTGTGCGGGGTATAGGCAAGAGCGAAGAATGGTGGGTGCATCAAGGAAGCAAATCTCCAAGTTAGCTTTAAGAGGCAAACTGGCCACATGTGTTTTCTTGCAATCCACTCCGTGAGTCCTTACTCTTGAGCAAAGACACTAACAGTAGGTCTTCCTGGACTTACGGCAGCCACTAGTCCCAGCACAGCCCCCAGACCAGGCGTCCCTTTAACAAGGACACTGGACTTCCTGCCGACAGAAATGAAAAGACAGGCTGTGTTCCTGGGAATATTGTTTTAGAGAATTGAAGAGGTGAAGAAACGTTTCCGGCTCTTCACTCAGCTCCATGAGAAAGAACTTTCGAACCAAAATGGTTACACTGCTAATAGGCCTTTAACAATGCTTATAATGTTAACAGGAGTCGGTGGGCCAAGCGTGGATTCGTCCAGGGGTAACCAGCCTGAGTTAAGTAGGTGAGAAAGTATTAAACAGAACATGGGCCTCTTTCAGACTGGGGAGCAAGAACTAGATAAACGCTGAGTAAATCTACAGTCTCATCGACCATCCAGGAGCCTGCCTAATGCTTTACACCTGGAGGCAATGAAACAGGCCTACAGAGATCAGTGGAAAGAGCTGAGACAATTAGGGTTTCTCCACTGGACTTCCAAATAGTTTTGCATCACAAAGACACCAGGTGTTCTTTGCATTGGTGACTTACTAGGCAAAATGTAACACTAATAAACAACTGGAAACTACACGCTAAAATGCACTGGGCAAATCCCAAAGCCAACTAGAATTCTACAGGTTAACGTCAAGCTACTTATGTTTAGAAAGTTAATGTTCACTCTTTACTTGTAATCAAAACTAATCAGCGAACAAGCTCTTTCTTAGAAAGTGTGGATGGCTCTGAAAAGAGCCTTTGGGGTTGGATGACAGGACGCTTACTTGGCGGGCTCACTTGGAGCTGGTGTACTTGGTGACGGCCGTGCGCCTGCTGCTGCCCGGGGAGCTGGCCAAACACGCCGTGTCCGAGGGCACCAAGGCCGTCACCAAGTACACCAGTTCCAAGTGAGCCCGCCAAGTAAGCGTCCTGTCATCCAACCCCAAAGGCTCTTTTCAGAGCCACTTAACTTTTACCAAGAAAAAGCTGTTGCGCTTTGCCTATTGAAAAGTCTCGGTGGCTGTATCCGGGATCATTTTCTCCAGGAACACCTTGAGTACCCCGCGGATCTCCTGTAAGTGAAGCCAGATGACGGGCTTGGCAGTCCGTGCATGTTGTGCACCGCGTTATGGTGGCGCTTGCCATCACCCAGATCTAATCACAGCCCCTCCTAATTTGCCACAGCTAGACCTGATGTTGAGAGTATAGACGGGAACACTAAAAACAAAAGTCCACCGGTGCACTCAAGAGGCAAGAGGCGTTTTGAACCCTTCAGACCAAATTGAAAACTAGAGCAGCGCAGGCCGGAAAGCTTCACCGCTGGATTCTGCTCCCTTCCTCCTTGCAAGCAAAGGTGGAGGGAGGTATGTGTCCGGAGCTTCTTGTGGGTCGCTGAGGCCGTCTTGGGGGAAGGCGAGGCGGACTTTGCGGTGCCCTTGCAGGGGAAGGAATGTCCTGTGGACTCTGGTATGAATATTTGAGGGAAGAAAAAGAAGTTAGTGGATATGGGCCTCCGCTTGCTACGGCACAGTCATCTCTGACTCTCAAATTAGGCAAAACAGAAGTAACTTACCTGAGGTCACACAGCAAAAAAATGGTGAATGGAATTTAAGCTTCCAAACTTTGAGTCCGTGCTTGTAGTAGGATCTACTGCCCGTTTTAGATCCTAATCCCCACCTCTGGGAGGCTGGAGAGCGCAAATGAAACCCCAGAACAGGTCTTGGCTCTTACACAGCAATTAACTGATTCAAGTCTATCGGGCCTTAACTCTGTTCCCAGAGCCCAACTAGGTTCTTAGGGCCACCAGGGCCACTTCGAGGCTCTTGTGTCTTGCAGCACATTACATAAGGCATGGATTTCTGTATCTTTCCTCTAAAATGGGAATAAGTTGGAGATGACTTGGATAAATGTAAAGGGAGCTTGCAACTTTTAGTCCCTCGGTGTTCATTTGTTTTCTGCCCTTGTATCTTTTCATATGTATTAGAATCACGTGAAATTATTAAAGTGAAGACACATTATTACAATAGGAAAGCATTTTGCTACAGGAAAGCAGTAAACCCGTTATACTCTGCCCCAAATTCTATATACAATCCTCTGCCACCCTATTGCATCAAGGTATTGACAAAACGGCAGTAATATTTATTACTCTTCCCAGATTTTAAAATAAATCTCTGTAATAGTAGACCAACTCAAAGTGATCAATTAAAGTTAACTATCTCTACTTTGCCTTCCAATAATCTTCAGTAACTTCACCAGCAAATGAATGCTGCAGTGGATTTTAAAATGCTTTTCTTGCTATTTCCCCAAATCCAACTGTACCTCCTAAACTATTCTTCCATCCAATTAACTAACATTTTATTTAGCATTTACTATTCGTTACAGGCCGCTCATTGTATGTTGGATTAGGGATGGAAATCCTTAAACCTTATTTCTCAGTCACCACCGGTGTTCCTGAAAATAGGTAAAACGTTCATGGAGGAAAATTTGGCAATATCTCTCAAAACAATGCATATATTTTTGGGCACCTGGGTGACTCAGTTGGTTAAGGGACTGCCTTCAGCTCAGGTCATGATCAAGTCCTGGGATCGAGTCCCACATTAGGCTTCCAGCTCCATGGGTATCTGCTTCTCCCTCTGACCTCCCCTCTCATGCTCTCTCACTCTGTCTCTCTTTCTCTCAAATAAATAAATAAATAAATCTTTAAAATTAATAATAATAAAAGATCCTCTCTCTTAAAAAAAAAAAATGCATATATTTTTACAACCAGAAACACCACCTCTGGGGTGGCACCATTCTTGAAAATGTACAAAATGGCATATTACAGGCTTTTGCAACAGCCCACTTAGTAGAATAGATGACAAGGAGCAATCTGAGTGATCAAAAACGAAGGAATGAATTACAGGACATTATTCTGTCTGGTAAGAACAATTGAGAATGTTCTTCATAATAACAGTAGCTGGTGTTTATTGCTTACCAAATAATGTCCTAAAAGTTTCCTTACATACATCCAATTACCAAATCTTTATAACAACCTGATGAGTTAAATTACTACTTGCCTGTTTTATAGATTATAAAATGGGGATTCAGAGAGGTTGAGTAAATTCCCTGAGGTTGCACAGCTAATAAATAGTAAAAACATAATTTAAAAAAAAAAAATCTCTTCTGAAGCCATATTTGCGACCACTGTGTATTATCAGCCTTCTCTGGGTATCAATATGGGATGATTTCTGAAGCCATGTTTGTGACCACTGTGTATTATCAGCCTTCTCTGGGTATCGATATGGGATGATTTCCAAGATCTATTGGCAAGTACAAAAAATACAGGATAGTATGCAGTAGAATTTTCTGCATGTATGTTTATACGCTTGCAAAATATGTCTAGAGGGTTACTAGGTTAAGTTGCCATGGGTGAAGGGAGGATCTTTTCAACTGTAACCCTTTTATGCTCTTAAATCATGTATGCATTGCCAATAAATGAATGAATAACGGATAAACAAATAAATAAATAAATCTGAGAATCCCCCTGCTCAAATATTGAGAAAATAATATTAATAAATAAATACTTCAGTAAAGATGTGTGTGGAAAGCCTCAGGAGCACAGGAGAGATAATATTACCAGTGTGTATGGGGGGGTGGGGGGGTAATACAAAACTGTTCTAGGCAGGTGAAGTAAGAAAGTGGGTGTCACATTCCAGGAGTTCGTAATAGTTGGCGGGACTAGAGTCTGCAAGGGTAGGCAGAAGGGAGCAGCCCAAGGGGCCGACCAAAGAGTCCAACAGAATTTTATACCCGGGGCTTCATTCAGTACTAGGTGTGTGGTCCTTAAAATGATGAGAGGACCTCACGATAAAACAACTAGGTAGGAACTGTGAAGAGCTTATCAAGTAAGATTCTGAAATATGCCAAATTCTAGATGCCAATATAAGTGTTTGGTTTTTTAAGTGAAGCAGACTCTCAATTTATTTACTAAATCAATCCGGCATCTGTAGGATTTCTTTGCTCCATGAGCATGAATGAGAGACAGAAAGCATCACCTGTCTGTTTTGGAAGCAGTAGAGGAATCTTACAAGTGTCTATTACAGGTTGAACGGAAGACTTCATAATGCAACTTTGTTACTTTTGTAGCTTATGATCAAATAAGCCAGGGGATCAGAATGGCACACTGTGGGTGGATATAGGTCAAGATCTGTGCAACAATGTCTACGAAGTCTCAGGAAACCCCTTACAAATCAAATCATACTCCTGTGTTTTTATTTAACTGAAAACAACCCGGTGGCAGCTTCGAGCCCTGGCCCAGAACTCCATATTGGCCCGGCAGCATGGCAGGACCCCACAGGGCAGCCTTGAGCTCATATTTTACATGAAGAATTAGAAAAGAGGTTGAAGAAGATTTCCTTTCAGACAAGACAGTTGGGACACCTAGCATCCTTTGATGGGGCTTTATTGTCTATTATCCGGGAGGTCCTTTCGAATGTGTTTATTGGCTTATTGTCAGTAAAAAGGGTCTTCCTTTTTTTTTTTCTACATTTAATAGAGAAACATTCCCCATCATCTTTCATGCAAGTTTTTTGTTTTTTTTTTTCTAAATTGGTTTCCTTTAACCTCTCATTTTCCTCTCCGAACTTACTCCTCAGTCTGTCTCAGAACATGCGAGCAAGACAGAAACTGTGACAAAGGCCGGAATAATCCACAGAGCTTGCGACCATGAGTAACACGAACGAAATTCAGCATCACGCATTAAGGGAAGCAGAATATGCACATTATTGCAAATCCCAGTTATTAGTCATTGGAGGGCCCATAACTTTACCTCTGTGTATAAAGAAAATTAATGGCTCTAATCATAAAATAGGACCATCTGTTATACAGCATACACTAGGCTAGCACTGAGGAGACCCAGTGAAAAAGTCTGTGAGATTTCTTGTTCTTGTGACACATCGAAGGGAAGAGGGAGCCAGACAATCAGAAATAAATTAATAAAAACTAAACTATATCAGCCCCTTGATGAAGTAGTTTGTATAAAATAAAGCAAGGAAGTGGGTAAGGAACTGGGAGTCCCAACTTGAACTGGGAGACCCTTACACAGGGTCTCGCTGGGGCACCAGCGCTTCAATGAGCGCTGACAGAGTCGCCATCTGGGGGAAGCTGCTCCAGGTGGAAGGAATGAGGGCGAAGTACCCCAGGCAGCTCCCTGCTTAGCATGTTCTGGGAACAGCAAGAGAGGCCCGTGTGCTTGTAGCAAAGGGAGTAATGGGGTAAGAAGTTTTGCTTCAGATGTCTGCCTGTTTCTCTGAGTCCAACTTAATGCCTGCCTTGAGCCTCAAAACCCAGAAGGTTTTTGCATAGTCACAGGTAAGCTCTGCACAAAGAGAAGATGGCCCCACCTCCACCAGGATCTAGATCTAGGGAAGCAAATGACATTCTTGTAAAACTCTCCCTAAAGAGGTGAATTCTAACAAGAATCTTGTTCCCAGCCATACATACCTCCAGCACCAAGACATCTGGAATGACACTGAGGGACTGATGTCACAACAGATGGCTTTTTACTGCTTAATGGAATAACAACACATAGCGCTTAGAGGATGTGTTGGGGGGAGTCTTCGTATCCTTAGTCATCTACTTCGTATTTTCAACTTTTCCATTTCATCCAACTCTTGCAGACCCCAAGGCTAACAATTTTGTAAACAGTCCTCATTTTGGGAAGTATATAACAAGATCTTAAACAGGCCCATAAAAAAAAAAAAAACATGAACCCTGATATTCATTAACAAATTATTTATGGTGACAAAAAAAATTGAGGACAGTCCTCTTGGGCAACACTGAGGGAGTAGATAGGGAAAACTGCTGTTTCTAGGGGGGGTTTTTGGGGGGTTACTGTGACTGCAGAGTAAGCGAGCCCAAACTTTGTTGCCATA